TGACGAGCCGCTGACCTTCCCGGCTCTCCGTGCACGGCGTTGTCCGTCTGGGGGCCCACACGCGCGGAGGGCCACGCGTTCCCCGCACCAGCGAGGTGGCCGTCACGTTCGGCACCTCCGAGACGTCGTCCATGTATGTATTGAGGATCCCCCCCCCCACGAAGGACCCCAGCGCCATGCCCAGCTTTCTGGTTGCTCCGAGCTGCTCCAAGCAAGCGGGCAGCGGCTCAAGCTCGGGCGCCTTCGCGATCGTGCTCTTCGCCCTTGTGTCTTTGAAGGAGGGCCGCACCTTGACCAGCGTGAAGCGCTACGCCGCTGCCCTGAGGGCCATGCCAGCGGTGGTGGTCTTCAGCGCGGCGGGGTCCTGCGAGTTCTTCTGGCCGACCGCGACGCCCGCGGCCTCGCAGCCCTCGAAGTGGCCTTCCAAGGCCGCGCACGAGATGGTGTTGAGTTTCGCCTTGATCTCCTCCTTGTTGCGCATCCTCAGCCCCTGGGCCTTCTCGGTCCAAGCCTTGACGCTGGTCCTCGCCTTGGTCACGGGCTGCGTGCTGGCGCCGATGGACATCGTCACGAGGAATACCGCTTCCACCTGTCGCGTTCTCATCGCCAGGTTGAAAACCATCTTGGTGAGGACGGGGGCCAACGTATGCAGCTGCTCCACGTCAATCTTCGTGGAGCTGTCGAGCTCCTCCTGGTTCACGGTGCGATTGTTGTGTTGCTTGTTACGTGTCCTGACGCGTTGTTGTGGTTGAGTCGCGTTTCTTGCTGCCTCGCCGCCTGCGGATCGCTGGCGGCCGCGTCCCCCCCAGCGGTGTCATCTGCTCGCTGCCGCCCTCGGGCACCTGCTCGAACACGCGGGTGGCCGCGCAGCCAGTATGGCAATGGCAGCCGCTTGAACTCGGGCAGCGGTCGTGCCAGGTGACCAGGTGTGTGGCCAGATGCGCCCAGAGGTCCTCGAACCGATCAAATGGCTGTAGATTCACACCGATGGGGCAGAGTCGAGAAGCTGTCTCGGTGAGAACGTGATTGTGGGGGGAGGAATTTGTTCAACGGCGCCAGTACCGATATACATGCTGTGTGTGTGTGTCGTACGGCTGTCTGCCGATCTTTGTTTCGATGTGTCAGCCAGGCATTGGTCCGTCATATTGAACAGTGTTGTTGGTGTTTGTCCGCGGTGTTGTCCTCCCTCCGCCTGTCTCTGACGAACGAGAAGAGCTTTTGTTATGAGGAGTCTATTTCCGAAAGGAAGTCCGTCGGCATCGCACCAGGCACACTCGAAGTCGCCCTCTGCGTGTTCGCTGTCCTCAGGTCAAGTCGTGGCCAGCACAGTGTCCCTGGTCGTGGTGAGCCACCTTCTGCGAAACTGGCGCACGTCCAGCAGGTTGAAGGCAGCGTTGGCGTCTCGCTCTCGGTGCCGAACATCTTGAGTCATTCGCCCACCAGCATGTCGAGGATGTTGCTGCCCTCCTCGGTCTTGGCCATGTACTCGATGTCCTCGCGGAGCTGCGCAGCCCACGGGTTCGTCTCCGCCATACTCGCTCGTGCCGTCACCGCCGTGGGGAACCTCGCAAAACCAGACTCCTTCTCCAGCCGACAACGGCTGCAAGCTGTTGCTTCTGCCATTCGGGGTGTCGTGATATGGACTTCCACTCCTTGAGGCGTTGCATTCTGAGCTCGATCGCGATGGCGACCATGCCACGCTGGCACCATATCTGCGCAGCAGGTGGTGTGCGGATGAACTCGTACTCGCCGCCGTTGCCGTCGTCGACCATGACACGCGTCTCCACGCCATCCAGCAAGACACGCGCGCGAATTTGAGGCACTGCCAGTCGAACTTTTCGGTCTGAGCCTTGCTCAGGACGAGGCCGGTGAGCCCAGACGTGGCCGCACCGATCTTCATGCTCCGAAGCACGATCTTCTTGATCTTCCAGTGTTTGCACTCCGTCCAGAACCTTTCCATGAAATACCACTCTCGCCTTGCAGCCGCGCACCGTGCTTCAACCTCTGGCCACACCAGTCCGCTACTCGTGGTCCCAGGCCCCAGGAATGGCGCCTCCTGCACGATCTTGCCAGGTCTGTCGCCATGCGTTTCGTATAACACGCTTCGGTTGTAAGGGTTGGAGCCAGGCCCGACGTGGTGGGGGACCACGGCCTCCTTGCCCTGCCCCTGTACGACTCCCGCTCCCTTCAGCGCCGTGTTCAGCTACGTGTCTGAGTGCCTCCTGACCTCGCTAGTGTGCTGCGGGTCCACGGTGCAGTGGGTCTTGTTCACGTCGGTGGCGAAGACCCGTCGGGACAGGTCGATGAACTCGTCGCCGAACGGATAGCGGGCCAAAAGCACGTTGGGGTACTTGTCGTGGTGCAGGTGCTGCCAGTAGTAGGGCCACGGAGAAGGCTTCCTAAACTACTGTCGCCGCGATGGTGTCGCCCATGTGTAGTTGCCCTCGCCGTTCTGCATAGTGATCATCTCGCCCTCGGCCTCGATCTGGGAGCACGCGCGCCGATGTCGTTGTGGGAGTTGTTCGGCGTCGCATTGGCGATATGGCCGTCGCACTGCTGCGTCAAGGGTGGGTGTCGGACTGAGGCGAAGGCGTTCTGCATTTCGTGTGTGGTGCCGACGGTCGGGATCCTGCGCTTTCTCATGCGCCATGCGAGGCGTGCCGTCGTGCGTACTGCGCCCGTCCTGGAGCCAGATGGTAGGTGGCCGTAGTCGCGGACGGGGACGGGTCGTTCTTTGCGCTACGCTGTTTTGGTGCACAGCTTTCCGAAGGAGCAGAGCCCGTGCAGAAGCCTCATCCCCTTGAAGCCGTCCTTGCCGTTCGACTTCGTCACCTGGTAGTACCAGGTCTGAGGCACGTTCCAATTGGCCACCAGCCGCTGTTGCTGACGAACCCGTGCTTGCACACCAATGATCCAGTAGCGGAGATTCGGCACGTCCTGCAGCGGCTCTCTTGCACCAATGCCTGCGGTGCGCTCAGAGGTGGATGGCCGTGGATAGCCGGATGACCAAGATATCTCCGTTGGCACCAAGCGCGGCACGGCAGCTCGACGACGCTTGGCGCGGTGGAGTGCTCGGCATATTCGCTGGTAGTCCTCGGTTGCCTCTTCGGGGTCTTGGTGGGTCGGGGCGGTGGCGGCGTCGTGGCAGCTGGCGTCGCGGATGAAGCCCTCAAGTTGAATCGTTTTCGCGCCCATGTGTCCGTCCTTCGTTGGTTTCGCCATGTCAGTCCGTCATTGATCCGCCGTTGGTTTGTTCTCCGCGGTGTTCCTGAAGTTGCGTCGTCGTGGTCCCGTTCCCCATCCAGCTATTAGTAGGCAGAGTCTCCATTCCTCCTGCGTCTGTCCTTGGTCGTGGTCTTCGTCGAGCTCGTCTGCGAGTTGGCGTTTGCGTAGGGTCTTCAACTCCTTCCGCATCTTCTTGCATTGGTCTGTGAAGCGATGTAGTTGGAGCGTCGTCGCGAAGTCGTCGGTGTGTGCCTCGTGTGCTTCGCTGCGGAGCGTCAGCATCCTAATGTGTTCAGTGGCAAATCGCATGTAAGCTATCTTTGTGGCTTGGAACATGTCGTGGCCCTCCGTCCGCAAGATCCGAGCTAGGTCGCCCCACGCACCCTCCAGTGCCTCGTAGTGGTTCAGCATGCCATTGATGTCGGGGTATCCGGCCTCCTCGAGGCGTAGCGCCAGCGCGCTGTCGAGCTTCTCGCGAAAGGGGCTGGCTCTCATCTCGGCCTTCAGCGCCTCGGACATCCTCAGGTAGTCCCAGCGTGGCCGTTGTGCTGCCTTGCTGTAGTCTAACTTGACGTCGAGCTCACTGAGAAATGCCATGTAGTCGCGAAGTACCGGGTCGGGGATGGCCTGCAGCTTTCTCGTTGAGCGATACCCCTGTCCAAACTTGACGGTCTTCGAGAACCTGCTGCGCGGGATGATGATGTGGTCGATCCATGACACGTCCTGCTTGCCCTTCTTACCGCCAGCGCGCAGTAGTTCGGCCCAATCGGATAGAAGGTGTCCACAAAAGGCGAGGTCGTTGTTCTCTGCGATGTCCCCTATGCGTGTGCCTGCGAAGTGTTCCTCGTTCCTTGCGTGGGGCCCGACACTGTCGGAGTCCACTATCACGGTGCCGTCCATGGCATATGGCAGTGCCATATGCCGATGTTGTCGTTCACGTCCGTGCCGATGATCGGTTCAGTCCGTCTCGGCAGGTTGGTCAGGAGGTCGGCCACAAAATCCTCGATAGCGAGAGCCGTGCTCTTAATGCGGTGCTGCTCTCGCCCATCACGAGTGCCAAGACAGCCTTGGAGGGCCATGAGGGTGATGTCATGCGTCTTGCTCTTGAGGCGCAACGCGCCCGCTCGTCCACGTATTGGTACTGGCGGTGCCCATAATCTGATGATATGATTGCTTCGCACCGTGGCCTGGTTCGGGAAGAATGGGACACCGCACGACCGATTGCTGTAGTGGCTGCCCTTCTGCGAGCCGAAGTAGACGGCTCGGAAGTGCGGGAGGTCCTCCGTGTCGTACGGCGTCGTCGTGCGGCGTTCCGTGCCCACCTGGATGATGATGCCCACGCGGACGCATTCGCAGGCTGTCTCCAGTCCACGGGCGCGGTCCGAGAGGCTCAGCGGGCTCCGGTGCACCACGCGCAGAAGGATCGGCAGCAGCGCGATGGAGCCGCGTTGCCTCCCAGCGGGGCGCGGGCGGCGGGGGGATCGAGGCCCACGCCGGCTCCAGGACGGGTCGGCCGTGGCGCGGCCCCGCGCGGCGCGGCCACGGCCCCGCTCTCGGCACAGCCCACGTGGCCAGAAGGAGGCGAAGGAGGAGAGGGCGGAAGAGGAGGCTGAGGAGAGAGAAGCAGGAGGCGGAGAAGGAGGCGGAGGCAGAAGAGACGGAGGAGGAGAGGGACGGGGGAGGAGGAGGAGGAGAAGGGGCAGGAGGGGGCGGAAGGGGAGGAGGTGGGAGGAGGAGAGGGACGTCGAGGGAGCGCGGGCGGCCTCCCCCGCCAGGAGCGCGGCGGCGCCGGGTGGATCGCCGTCAGCACCGCGCTCGGACGAAGCTCGGGCCCATCGCGGCCGGGGAGTGTCGTGCCACGGCGGCCGCGGCGGTTGGTCGGGCTCGGCTTGGCCCGCGCACGCAGGTCTCGAAGAAGAGAAACCGGCATAGATTTCTTGGATTTGGCCCGCGCACACAGGTCTCGAAGAAGATAAACCGGCATAGATTTCTTGGATTGGCGCTGGGGCCCCCCCGGCGGCGCCTTTGGCGCCGTCCTCGGCGCACTGCGCGCGCCAATGGAGGGGGGTCCAGCGCGGATCCAAGAAATCCGCGCGGGCCTCCAAAAGTTTGATGTCTGTGTAGTTGTTGTTCTAGTCTCTGTCAGCAGAGTAGGAGATATAGCAGCCTCACGAAAGCCCAACCACGGGTCACTACGGGTCACTCTCTCCGCAGGCGAGCCTCGGCTGACCGCACCTGGCCACCTTCGCGCTGACTGGCCACGGCGCAGCGCACAGAAGAGGAGACGGAGGAGGAGGAGGAGCTGACGAAGAGATGTGTAACGCCCCGCACTTGCGGATAAGAGTGGGGGTGGGGCGGGGTGGGCGAAGCGCCCCCAAGTGTAGCCCCCAAGTTCAGGCTCCATGTGTAGCCCCCGAGCGTAGCCCCCATGCGTAGCCCCCAATCGTAACCCCTGCGTGTAGCCCTCGCGTATTAAACCCCAGATGCTGGGCTCCCTATCCAGCCACGCGCGCTGGCAGGCAGAAAGAAAGACCGTTCGGCCCCCTCGCTCTGACCGGTACCGCTGCCTGGGCTCGCGCTTGTTATCGGGCGCGGCGCTCTCTTGCACAAAAGTGGCATTGATGTGGGGCGCGGCACATGTTTCGTCGTCGCAGCGTGTGTTGGAAACCTGGCCGCGACAGAGAGGGTTTAATCGAGTTCTCGCCGAAGCGCCGCTCGCGCCCATGCGCAGCTCGTGCTTGCTTTCCTCCGCCAAGTCGTCGGAAGCGGGACCGCGCGCGAGCGCCTTCCGTTCGTTAGGTGGGAACTCGCGCCAGTCCCACTGTCAAGTTGCACCGCCAGAGGGTGCCCTGGTATGGGAGGGATAGTGAGAGCGGGCGGGGTCCACTGACTCGTTCTACCTGGCTAAGTTGATCCTGCCTCATACTCCTCCGTCCTCCTCCCGACTCCTCTCCTCATCGTCCCTCCTCACTTTCTCCTTCCTACCTCATCCGTCCCCTTTCCTCGTCTATTCTCCGTCTGTCCCGCCCTTATATTCCGTCCTCCTCCCCCTCCTTCCCAACGTCGTCACCATCATGATCATCATCATCAGCAGCATCATCATCCTCATCATCACCATCAGCATTATCATCAGCAGTGACATCATCATCACCATCACCATCACCACCACCACCATCGCCACCATCAACATCAACATCGTCATCATCATCACTATCATCAGCCGCAGCGTCATCATCATCGTCGGCATCCTTGCCCTCGCCATTAGCATCGTCACCATCAACATCACTTCCATCAGCATTCCCGTCATCAGCATCATCAGCAGCATCAGCAGCACCAGCAGCATCAACATCAACATCATTATTGTCATCAGCACCTGCATCATTCTCATCTTCACCACCGTATCGAATCTAACCGAATCGGATTGCTCCACGGGAAGCGTTAACGCGGGCCTACACAGGAGAACGTTGGTGGCCTCGGAGCATCTTTGGTGAGCGATAGGTGGGACATGATATACGAGGCCGACGGGCCCCGCAGGCGCAAGGCCCGCGTTGCCCCCCCCACAATGCGGTCTGCAACCACGGCACGCAGCCAGGCGGGTGCCCCGCTTCGGGGGACCGTCCTGCTCGGGAGTGCCTGCCGTCTGCAGCGCCTGTCTTGTCCCCTTGACATCGGGGCCCCAACGGCATCCGAAGTGCAGGGAACAGGCCAGTCGATTGCAGGTGGCCTGAGTTCCCCCTCTACTTCTTGCTGGTGCCACCTTTCCTCTCGCCCCCCCTCCCCGTCCCACGACGACCTCCACGACCGCATCCATTCCCTCTATTACTCGAAGTTGCCCTAGCTAAGTCCGCTACAGGGATCAGCAGCAGCAGTGGATTCAGATATGTCTGAAATCTGTTTCTCACCACACTCGCGGGCACCACTCCGCGCTCAATTAATTCACGAAGCCTGTCGCTCTGCATCAGGCCGTTCATCATCATCATCATCATCATCATCATCATCATCATCATCATCATCATCATCATCATCATCATCATCATCATCATCATCATCATCATCATCACCACCATCATCATCATCATCACCATCACCATCACCATCACCATCACCATCACCATCACCATCACCATCACCATCGTCAACAACATGTAATCATCAACACCATCATCATCACCATCAGCAGTAGCAGCAGCAGCCTCACCCCTCCGCTGCCGAATCTGAATCTCCTGCCCGCCACATGCCATCCCTGCTCCTCTCCTCGCCATCCCTCTTCTATCTTCGATCCTCCTGCTCCCTTGTCCGTGGTCACTCCCTCTCGTCCCTTTCTCCCTCCTCCTCCCTCCCTCCCTCTCCGCACGTGAAAGCCAAGCATTCTGGGTAGTCGAAGGCCAGACTGCCAGATTGGACTGGGCCCCAAGGGCCAATCTGGCCCGGCCGAACTGGATGATTCGGGTTATTCGCCAGACTGGATTCGCGCTGGCTCCCTCGCCAGATTGCCCCCGTTTGCCAGATTGGGCCTGCCAGATTGGCGCCAGATTGGCTTCGACTACCCAGGCCACCCCTTCCCCGTGGTCCTCCACTGACGACGGGGCACGCGAAAGCCAAAGCACTGGCAGCAGACAGACCGCCGCCCGCTTGGCCACGCCGCGGGCTCCTCCCCGCCCCCGGCCGCGCAGGGAGGCCGCGCCCTCACCGGCCACGGGGAGTGCGGCCGCGTCCGCCAGGCCCCATTGCCGCTCGGGGCCTGCCGCGCCAGACCTCCTGAGCTCCACGGCGAGGGTCGGGGACGAAGTTTTCGGATGTGTTCGCTGCGCTTTGGAGGGGGGCGAAGGCGACGAGGATCGGGGACGACGAGGGTCGAGGCCATCCATCGAGGCGGCCAGGGGCGGTGGATATCCATGGATTTCGTCGCCATCGAGGGGCGGCGCGATGGGCAGCAGGCCGCGCAAAAGAGGGAGCACAACCCTGACGAACCTCGAAGTTGCCACGACGAAGTGTTCTGAATGTGTCGTTGCGTGTTGGAAGTTTTCTCGCCTCGGGATGCTTTCCAGCATCTGTGCCTTGCCGAGAGCGTCCTGGGGTTGCCGGAATCGCCCCAAACGGCCGCCTGAGGCCCAACTTATTACCCCCCAAACGAACATCTTCGAGTCGTGAAAAGCCACGACAGAAGATGTTTCGCAATGATCGGCCTTCGGGGCCCGGTACTGATCGGCCTTCGGCCCCTTACTGGGCCCCAGGGACCGGTCCCCGGGATGAGGTGCAGACCTCTGGGGGGCCACGCTGCGAAGACGTCATGACGCCGGATGTTTGGGTACATCGATGGTTCGCAAAGTCCTGGCGCACTCGCGACAGCAGTCGTGCACGCGCGTGCAGCGCGCACCACCGCCTTCTGGACAGTCGCTACATAGCAGCCATTATCCGCCTGCCTGGTCGCATCTCGCCTGGGAGCTGATGACCAGATCCGTGATTGCGCGGGCGTGTTCCGCGCAGTCCGCGAGGTTGCCCGTGTCCTTCGCCGCGTCCAAGACGCTCGACGCCCGGTCACGCTGAAGGGGGAAAGCACTCTGCCCCGGCCCCTGCCTCTGCGGTATCTCCTCGACTAGACGTAAGAGTGACCTTTCGCCGGAGTGACCCTTGGTGCGGGCCAAATGGGGTCCCCCGATCGCCGCGCTCGTTGCGACATTAGCGTCTTGCGCGCTTGTGTTTGGCCTCCTCGCGCCCCCAAAAAAGCCGCGCACCAAAGGCCACTCTTGCCCAGGGTCACCCCTTATGGAGGATGACGATTAATAAATGACCGGGGGTCGTGTTCACGCGGCGGCGCCCGGGGTGACGATTCGAAAAAACCGGCCGCGGGCTGGAACATTTTTTTTTCTATCGTTCTCCTCCAGTCAGAAACTTGTGCAGAAATAGCAGGAAACTGTTTTTTTCAATCGTTCTCTCCCATTTTTTGAACCAATCGTCATCCCGCATTGCGTGCAGCCGATCCCCTGCGGCGGCCTGTCTCGTGGGTGCTCCCGCAGGTTGGGCCCTCGTCGGCGTCGGCAGCGTCTGCCACCATGGCGCCCACGGCGGGGCGCCCCGCCGAGGGCCCCCTGTGGGCTCGGGAGGGGGCTCCGGCGTTCGGCCCGCTCCGTGGAGCTGGGTCGGGGCCCCTGTTCGTGACCGAGGCTTTCCTCGGTCGGGGGTGGACAGAACCCCCAACAGTGACACGTCGATTAGTGAATTGTCCGTTTTCGGTTTTCGAGAGGGCGCCGTGGCCGTTATTTTCCAGGCTTGCGCCCGCCAGGTTTAGGCCTCAGGTCGTTTTCACTAAACCACGTTTTGCTAAAGGGGGGTCTGTCCATCCCCGACTCGGCTGCGTTTAAGTCGGGCGTGTCAATCTACAGGAGGAATATGCAGAAATGGCCAACAAAACAGTCAGGGGACAACGTGTTGATCATTCTTGGGATATCGTTGGAATATTTCTGGGGTATGTTTTTCATCTTTTGCCCAAAATCCGCCTGTAGGGGGACAGGCCCGACCTAAGGCTACGTTTAAGAGCGGGCTTTCGCTGGAGTGACCTCTGGTGCGGGCCCAAGCCAGCACTGGCTGGCGCGCTTGGATTGCGTTGATCTGGCCCACCCCGCGGCCCCTCAAAGCCGCACACCAAGGGTCACGCTTGCCTAGGGTCACTCCTGCATGCAGCCGATTGCTGTGGCCAGGAAAGGCCCCTCGTTCATCCCCCTTTGGTTGCACGATGCACGATGACTGCACAGCCGGGTGCCGTGCGCTCCTCCGCCCGCCGCTTTGCAAAGGTCCAGTGGTGAAGGCTGGGCAGAGCCACCACGAAGAGAAATGGTTCAACATCGACACCTGGAAAAGCTGGAGGCCGCACCCGTGACTAGCCCCGAGGCAACCTCACGCAGGAGCAGGAGAGGAGGAAGGAGGAGGAACGGGATGGGCCCGAGGAGAAGGAGGCATGGTGCATGGGGGAGGAGGGTTGTTGTGAGCATGCGTCGGATAGGTGGCCCTGATGGCAGTGTCTGCGGGCCCCTCCGCCACCCGTTGCAGCGGGCGGTTGGGAGCGAAGTGTTTGCCCTGCTCATGGCCATCGGCTTCGCGGCCCGTGGGGTCCTCCTCGTCTGACTGCCAAGCTGTTTCGAATGTGTGGGGCCATCTGCCTAGTCGGACCGTTGGCGTGCGGTCCTCTCAGAGCTCCGGGGCCAGGTGTTTTGCTGTGGCGCAGATTTTGCGTTCGACAACAGCAAGCTCAGAAAAAAAAAAACAAGGCCCACCAGACCTGGATCGTCTGCGTCAGGACCTCCCGTGTGTCCTTTTTTGGGGGGGGGGTCGGGCACACGTTGGCCGACAATTTAGCCCAACGTGCGGCCAAAGAGCACTCCTGCCACCCCCTCCTGGAGGCCGAGCGTGTCCACCACCATGAAGCTGTTACCCAGGTTTTTAGACGCCTGGCAGGCTTCGTTCCAGGCTTAATGTTCCTGATGTTCAGCGAGTCAAGAAGGCCCGCCGCCCCAGCTTTGACCCCCGCGGCCCATCGGAACGGGTCGTGTGTGCCTTGGTCGTGTCCGGGGCTGCCCATGCTAGCCAGAATGGCTAACAGGGGCCATCGGCTTTGGCTAATGGGCCCCTCTCTCATCTGCTGTTCCGCTTGCGCAACCTTCGGGACTTCGCGGCCCGCTTGCTTGGGGAACCCTGTTCTGGAAGCTCCCGGAACAAAGGCTAGGGTCCTTTGGGCTGTTCAAGGGAAGGATCCGTCCACCAACCGAGTGGTGCGCAGAAGTTTCCGCCTTACCATCAACTTTACAGAGTCCATGGGTTTCTGTCGATCCCTGAGCGACGCGTTTCACAAGGAAGTCGAACGTCTGCATATTGAAGGAGTGTGAGGGCGGAGAAGGAGGAACATCAGCAGCAGGAGGAGGAGGAGGAAGTCCAACAGCTTCCGTCCGCAGGTCCCTGGATGTTTCTGGGGGTCGTCAGAGGTCTCCGTAGGCCGAGGGGGAGGGGGAGAAAAACTAACGAAAAACCCAGACACGTCCAACCATATTTGTCCTCGATCTCCATCATCCTCTCTCCTCCTCCTCATCCTCATCCTCCTCCGTCTCCTCCTAGGCTGGCGTGTGAAGGACTCGGTCACCAAGCGGCCCTGCCCGAAGGTAGCAAATCTACACCAGGCAAGGTCTCCCAGAACTTCCGTCCCTGTAGCCCAAGGGGCAGGAGGGAGTGCAGGGGGGGCAGAGAGGGGGACTATATACACAAGGTCCGTTTTTTTGTACGTCCTTCGTCTGCTTGTTGTTTTGCCTCTCTCGCGAGGTTGTGCGTGAAATTGATTGTGTCACAGCGGGCTTATGGTGATTTGAATCTTGCTTGATTGACGCTGCATGGTTTGTATTGCTGCGAGGTCTGCAACACTTGGGAGACGATGGCGAGTGATCCAGCTTGCTGATGCCATTGCGATTCTCATCAAAAGTGCACCACGGCTTTTCTGGAAGTCGAAGAAAATCTTGGCTGATGGGATTTAGGGTGCCTCAGAGAGAGACAATGTGATTGCATTCGCGAATGTGCTGTTTGTTATCAAAATTAAGGAAATACGAATGCCGTTGGGGCAGACATTGATAAAGCGCACATCCATGAGACGCACGTGAGGGCAGATTTGACCGATTTCGAACACAGGTCGGGCCGCGAAACATCCGTGTTGCCGATTCTGACGAGGTGGAATATGCCTGGTGTGGTTCAAACAGCTCGCTTAATGGGTTAATGGGATGAATATTTTGGTGCCTCTAGTTCGTTGCCGCCCTTACAAGGTTTATAACATCGCATGAAGCTTTGTTTCGTGACAGTGGAAGTGGCCAAGCGACCATTCAACCGTTGTTTGCAATTCTACTCTTACAAAGGCTGAGACCGATGAGCATCGTGGCCCCATTCTCCATCATATCTCACCTTGGACCGCTATTGGGCCAACATGGCAATCGCTTGCTCAGCGCAGACAAGCAGTGGAGCAATGTGTTCGGGAGTGCCATAGTTCGAATTCAAACCATACAGCTGGAGGTTCTGCGTCGAGCGCGCCGCAACAATGCAGTCGATTCACTGTTTGCGAAAGCTGGCATATTGAAGCTGGCAGTTTGCGCACGCAGGATGTGAACGGCTGGTCTGATTCTGAAGGAAGACTGCGGGCCCCGGTTGGGCCAAAACTTCTAGTCAGTCGTGGATTTACCGATGAAGATCGCGGTAATTACAGGACAAAGATAGCGAAAAGACGGATGGACAGAGCGCGCATGAACAAAAAAACACCAGAGTTCGCAATTGCTGCAGCACGGTCGCGCACTTGGCGCGTCCCATTTCAGATGCCCCTCCCCTCCCTACCCGTGAAGGCTTGTGCCTTGTCCGTTGCCCCGCTGTTCCCTCTCGCTGTGCTCGGCTCCCCCAGGCCCCCTTCTTATCCCCTCCTCCCCTCTTGTGCTCGCCCTTCTTGCTCCTCGCTCCTCCCTCGCCTGCTCCTCGCGTCTTCGCACCTTGGCCCGCCCAGGGGTTGCGGAACAAAGGTCCCCATCGGGGCTGGCGCGGCCGTGCCTGCGTGCGGTGAGGTGGCGAGGGAGGGTGGGGGTACAGCCGATCGGGCCTGCCAGAGCTCCAACCCAATCCCCAGTGCTTTCGTCTGCAGAAGCGGGTCTTTCCCCGCCCGTGCCACACCCTCCTCCCGTCGCACCGACCGCGGTGCGTCTGGCTGGCAGGCCTTGCAGCTGCGGGGCCCTGCTAAACTAAGCCTACGCAGGGCCACTACAGAGTCACAATGAGCTATCGCTGCTTCGTGAAACGACCGGCTCCAAGCGTTTTTGTCATTTGTTTTTGTCCATCTCCTCCGCCTCCTCCTCCTCCTCCCCCTCCTCATCCTCATCATCGTCGTCATCATAATCACCATCACCATCACCATCATCATCATCATCATCATCATCATCATCATCATCATCATCATCATCATCCTCAGCAGCGTCGGCATCAGCATCAGCATCATCACCATGCATCATCACCACCATCATTATCATCGTCGTCGTCGTCACCATCACCATCCCCATCATCGTCGTCACCATCACCAGCGTCAATTTAATCGTCACTACCATCGGCATCAGTATTATTATGTTTATTCTCACTAGCATCATCATCAGCATCATCATCATCATCATCATCATCATCATCATCATTAGCAGCAGCAGCATCATCATCATCATTTTTTCCATCGTTATAATCATCAGCATCAGCATCATCATCACCATCACCATCACCATCACCATCACCATCACCATCACCATCACCCTCCTCCTCCTCCTCCTCCCGCCTCCTTCATCTTTCCTGATCCCTCCTCCTCCTCCTCCTCCCCCTTCTCCCCCTCCTCCTCCTCCTCCTCTTCCTCCTCCTCCTCATCCTCCAGCTGCCATGAGGGCTGAAGAGAAGCTCAGGCAGCAACGGCACCCCGCTTCCCACAGAGCTGAGTTCGGGCGCACATGGCGTATCTCGGGCCGAAGGCGGCCTGAGGGCTCGAGACAAACGAGACGAGAGGGAGGCGTACACGGGGGCCGACATGGTGCTAAATATAGTGTACTACAACGCCCAGAGCGCAGACTTCACGAGGATGGAGGAGATCAGCTTCCAATGCCGCAGCGTCGACATCATAGTTGTCACCAGCACGCAGCGCCACACGGACATAGAGCATGACATGCAAGAGAACAGCCTTCCTTTCCACAAGGTCCTCCGATTTGGTTGGAAAAAGTCGCCCTACGTCAACAAGTCATGCGGGGTGGCCGTGCTACTCGGGAAGTATGTCAGTGGAGTACAATGTGCTGAAGCCCCACCGCGGTCACAAGGTATCACGGGAAGAGTGGCACGAGTCAAAGTACGAGCACATGGGCAGTCAATCAGTGTATACCCAGTTTATTTTCCGCCGAAAGGAACGACACCGACAGTTCTCAGAGAGACTGCAAAAAGAATGCTTCAACGGATCGCTCAGAAGGTTGGCAAAGATGGCCATCACACGCTCCCAATCATCGCAGGTGACTTCAACTGCGGGTTTGGTATCCGACGGGACGTTACGGGAGCTGCCTACATCAAAGAAGATGGTCACATTGGAGTCTGCGAGCCGGTGTACGAGAGCAACGTGTCCATGCAGATTCGACAGTTTGCGGCAGAGCAGCACATGAGTGTAGCTACGACTCACTGGACGACGGGACCCACCTACTTCCAGAGGGGCGCTTCATCCAAGATCGACCATTTCATATGCCCCACATCGGCGCTTGCTAGCATTCAGAAGGCGAACACGCTGATCCGACTGGGGCGCAAACTTCAATTGCAGCCCAGCGCGACCCTCGAGGACCATGTTCCCGTTTATGTGGAGATGGTGCTTCCCAAGAAGAAATACAGTGTGCACGCGCCCTCTCCGCCAGCTCACAGAGACCACTTGATGCAGGCTCAAACCACAGGGGTTCGCCGCCAGCAGTACTTCGAGTCGGTGATGAGACACCTGGAGAACGATGACGACAGCTACAAAGCGGCAATGCAGAGCAACAGCGCGCAGGCGGTGTGGGACCACATTGCAGGTGCGGTCAGGCGGGCTCTGGAAGAAGTATTTCCTCCTGGCCCACGTCGCACGGCAGAATACGAGGAGTACAGGAGCCAGCGCATGGACTTGATCAGACGCAGAGGCATGATGAGAGCCGAGGGAGCTGACAAGAATGAGGAGGAGTTCGAACGAGTCCAGCGACAACTCCATCAGATCACGAGGCGCCTTCAGAATCTTCGGAAGCAGCAGACGGCCGACACGCGACAAGCTCTACTCCACGAGCTGGTGCAAGTTTGGAAGAACCAGCAGTGGGCGCAGA